TCGTTTTGAAAAAAAAAAAAGAAATTAATTACTTTATTTGGTGTACAGGCCGGTGAACATGCATACAGAATGCCACTGTCGTCTACAAATTTGTGAGCAACACGATCTTGTAGCAGTTTCTTCGCATGTCCTTAAATTATATCCACTCTATAACGCTTAGTGTTAATTTGAAGGAACGCCATAATGTAGTCGTTAAAGCTGTCCTTGATATGGTTCCTCCAAATTTGCATTGGAATTGACTGCATGTATTAATTAAGTTTTTTTATAATTGTTGTCTTGGAAATAAATATAATGGATTACTGTTGTGGAATAATTTGAAAGTAAACATAGATGGTTACTTACTAATCGTGCTCGCTCAATATGCTTTTTTATTTTTTTAATCTCCAACTGAAAGCCAAAATTTAAAATTCCCGTCAAATCAATGATAATGACAACCATTACTCTATATATGCAACTACCATCATATTACATAGTGATGCAATTAATTAAGAGAAGAAGTAGCTTGATGTACCATTTCTCGATAGAAGCGTAGCTCAAAACTCAATCTAAAGAGCCACTGTTAAACATACTTTTTCTGTTTGGAAGGCGAGCTAAAGGTGATATTTTTCATGTAAACATGTTTTTGATCCTTCCCTCTCAACCATCTTTTTTCTCGTTGGCGAAAATCCTATCTCATTGTCTTTTCCCGCCAACGACCTCTTCCAAGGTGGATTTTGTAAAAAGTGAAATGAGCTATTATATTAGAAACCAAGAAATGACACGTCTGAATGCATACATAAGATTAAATAGTCATGTTTACTATCAACATTTAAGCACCCATACCCATGTTATGTGATATAGAATGGGTTCTAAAATTGGAAATTTTACGTAAATCGTCATCAAACAAAAATAATATCACCACATAATTAGTTATTACAATCGAGACAACTTTGTTAAAAATATAATCTCATTTCCATATTTTGCTTCCAAAGAGGAATTGGTCCAACCATCCAAATAAAGAATATTAAATGCATTGAATACATGTAAACTAACAAAATTTTAAGGAGTTTTGAACTTCAAAACCAAATATCCCGTTACTCGAAAATAAACTAAACAATGATGCAAATTCTAGCTCCTTTTGCCAGCTATTTATTTTTTTTTTAAATTAAAATAATAAAGCATCTTCTTAACATGAAATCATCCACAGAAGCTTCTCAAGGAAAGATTGATGATCACTCTAATCGTCTGAACACGCCTTGAAAAAGCTAGTAGCACTGCACGATATATCCCATCAACTTTTGTATGGAAACACGTGGCGCCACCCTGCGCCCTAGCTAGCACTCCTCATTTAATGCACCGATACATTTTTCATGTATAAATACCAACTTTCAAGCCTAGAAGAAGGCAATGAGATCATATCAAAAAAATAAGCCCAAAGACAACATAACCCCACTTAGGCTAATCCCTCAAAATATCATCG